CTACATGTCGCCTAGGGACACGAAACGTCTCATGTTCCCGCCTTTCGCCTGCTCGCCTATCAAATCGCCTTTGCTCCTGCTCCATCAATTTGGATTTTATAAAAGATCGATATTATATTCATTCCATCCTAAAATCTCAAAAAATCCAGACATATCTAGTTGGTTATAATCAATGCAACTGTTTATTTAGCAGTCCTTTCTCCTCGTTTTAAAATTCAAATTCAAGCAAATTATTTCATATTGTTAATTAGTTATAGAAATAATTTGACAACCAAAATATTTGCGATTAGATCAATCCTAAATTAACTAAAATTAGATCAATAAGATGGTATATCTTACAGTCCAATAAGTTAAAATATGAGTATCAGAATCACCATACATAGGCGGATAGACCTAGCGTGCAACAAGTATTGAAAGATTAATTATAATTCAACACTAAATTTTCACAAATTTAAAAAACAGAAATTATTGTTATTTGATGCAAAAGAAATCTTAAGACATTAAATTAGAGCTCAAGTTTAGCATGATATACTTGAGAAAAGAGTATACTATGTATGGTTTTTCAATATTAGTCCCCATATCTTTCATATTGTGAAATTAGTCCCCTAAATCTTCATTTTTTATATTAGTCCCCCTCAATATTTTAATTGATTTGAATTGAGGGAAAATATTCTGTAATCTTTAACTTTTTTATAAATCCACCGTTTACTTCACTCTAGGATTAGAAGTGGAATCACTGGTCCAGGAATTTGGGAATTAATCACATGTTTACTTGGCCAAAGGTTTGGATCAAGGTCTGACACAAAATGGGCACAAACCAATACGGAGGCTCCCGTTGGTATTGGCTACTGGATCAAGGTCTGACACAAAATGGGCACAAACCAATACGGAGGCTCCCGTTGGTATTGGCTACTCAATATCCCACTCCTAATCAAGATTTAATAATTAACAACTCCTAAAAATTATATATGAAAATTACAAACACATCTTAAAAAAATCTAAAAATATAAATAGCACCCATAATTTTAAATTTACAAATAAAGCCCGAGAAAACTAAAATTTCAAAAAAGCCTCTGAAAATTTGAAAATTACAAAAAAATCTCTTAAAAACTAAAATGTACAAAAAAGGAAGCCCCCATAAATTAAAATCTACAAAAAAGACTCCCTGAAAAACTAAAGTTACAAAACATGCCAGAAATCCGAAAATTGCAACAAGGCCCTTGAAAGTTGATAATTACAAAAGTACTCTTGAAAAGTGTAATTTACAGAATGGTCCACAAAAAAGAAATATGCAAAAAGACCCCCTAAAAACATAAATTTAAGAAATCCAGAAAACTGAAGTATAAATAAATGCCTCACCAAAAATTGAAAATTACAGAAAAAATGAAATTACAAAAAATTCCCCAGATATCTGAAATTTAAAAAAAGGCCCCAGAAACTAAAATTTACAAAACAAACCTCGAAAAACGGAAATATACCAAGAGCGTCTAGAAACTAAAATTTACAAAAAGTTAGAATTAAAAGATTGGATAGTAAATATAACGGAGGACTAATTTCAAAACGCTTAAAAGATTGAATCATCCGCGAACTGGATGGTTCTAATGGTTCTCTTCCTTTCTCATATTCTCAAGGGCTAATTCCTCTGACATGAATATTCTCAAGACCATCCTCTCTATTTTTGCTAACATTTCAGGGCTCTGTGCTAATCCCCTCAAATCCAACCTTTTCTATCTTGTCAAAATTCCCCACAAAGGTAATATGTTGGCCGAGATACTCAACTGCTCTGTCGGTTCTCTTCCTTTCTCATATTTGGGCTTCCCCCTTAAAAGAGGCTCTCTATCTAAAAGAGAGTGACAACCTCTTTTAAAATCATTCAAGAAGAAGCTTTCATTATGGAAAAACAAAACTTTCTCCATTGGTGGCAGGTTAACTCTTCTGAACTCTGTCCTTTCTTCTATCCCCCTCTATTATATGTCATTCTTTAAGCTGCCGAAATGGTTAGTTAAGACCATTGACAAAATTAGAAGAGATTTCCTTTGGAACAGTAGTCTCAGCCACTCGAGAGTCAAATGTCTTATCAATTGGGGGACTGTTTGCAAGCCTAAGGCAGAAGGAGGGCTCGGGGTTATTGATATCCCCTCCTTCAATTCTGCTCTACTCTCCAAATGGATTTGGAAAATATTCGACAGAAACTCTCTTCTAAGCAAAGTGATATTCTCCATTTACTCCAAAGATGGATCCAACCCCATTGTTCAACAACCAAAGAGTTTGTCATCAAGATTCATCCAAGATTTATTTTCCATTCAACCAATTTTCTTTAATCTGGTCAGATAGAATGTAGGGGATGGTAAAGCAGGAAGTTTTTGGCTTGACAAATGGTCTTCCGCAAATTCTCTATGCAGTCTCTTTCCTAATGCATACAAGCTAGCTCTCTCTAAAAACTATAGTATTGGCTCCCAAGGTAGAATGATCAACAATTCATGGCATTGGCATCCCCTTACAAGAAGGGGTATTTTCTTAGCTGAAAGGTCAGCCTTCTCCACCTTCACTCCTTCTTAGATCTCATTAATCCAGGTGATCCCTCTGTCCTGGATGAATTATGGTGGCCTCTTCATCCATCGGGAAATTTCACAGTCAAATCCTATTACTCTTTTGTTTCTTCAGGGGGTATTAAATCCCAATTCTACAACATGGTTTGAAAATCCAACATTCCCACAAAGGTAAAAGTTCTTTTCTGGGTTATTTCTAAAAAGAAGCTGAACACGAGGGATAATTTGATCAAAAAGGGATGGACTGGTGATCCTAGATGCCTTTTCTGTCATCTAGGAACTGAAACTCATGATCACCTATTTATCCACTGCTCCTTTGCTCGCTCAGTATGGACTTCCCTTCTCCCCCTCTTTCCACCTAACATCTGGCCCACGACCACGGAAGAGTTGTTTTTTCTTCACAAAATTCCCAATATTTGCTCGGATACCAAAGCTATATGGCACGACCACGGAAGAGTTGTTTTTTCTTCACAAAATTCCCAATATTTGCTCGGATACCAAAGCTATATGGAAGATCTTGTTGCCCTGTGTTTTTTCTTCACAAAATTCCCAATATTTGCTCGGATACCAAAGCTATATGGAAGATCTTGTTGCCCTGTGTTTTTTGGTGGATCTGGTTCAGTAGAAATACTCTTATTTTTAAGGAAAGTCAGCCTACCCCGCTTCATACAGCTTCTAATATTGCGAGATATTTAATATTCTGGTCAGATACTGAAGAGGACAGGATGGCAAGGAGGCTCCGAAGAGAAGCTTTCAACCTCGGCTTCCAGGAGCTCGCTAAGAAGAACGCCCCCGATGTTGCTAGTGATAATTTCTCAAACAACTCCTAACCTCTGCGGTTCTTTATCTCTGCTGGAAGTAGCCTCCTCTTTTGATGATTGAAGACTGTGGCTTATGGCTGCTAGCTGCGTCTAGCTCTTTACTAGCTTAGTTTTTGTCTTCTACGAGCTACTACCTATTCTCTGTTGTGTTTGTTTCCTTTTGGTTTTTATTCTAGTTGTTGGAATACAGTAGGCCTAGTGTGGTAGGTGATGACAATGACCCGCTCCTTACCCACTTCTCCTATTGTGTTTCTCCATCTAGATCTGATGTAATTTCTCTTCTGGACTTTCTTATATATTAATATGAACAGGGTACCTCACCCTGTTTTTCAGTTCAAAAAAATGCTTAAAAGATTTAGCGGACTAATTCCAAAAGTTTGAAAATTTCAAAATGTGAACAATTTAGGGGAGTAATATTGGAACACCCTAGTAAGCATTACTCACATGCCATCCGGCTGATATTGAATGGTTACCATCAGTGAGGCCAATAGATATTGAACTGAATTGATCAGTTTGAGCTTCTGGTAACCCATAAACAACAAGGTAAGCTTGGGTTCACCCAATATTTTCCTTCTTGATCACTTCCGAATTCTGCAAGCTGATGAAACAAAAATGAAATTGATGAAAATGTGTTTCATTAAATTAACTAACTGGAGTTTGAAACGAGTGACATCTGAAAAAAATCCTGCTGGATGATAAGGGCCTATTTAGTTGCACACTTTTTGAGAAAACTTTTCTCAAAACATCTGACAATGGCAAATTTGTAAATAAAAGTTTTCCAGAGATTTCTGTAAATTGCGTTTGGTTCAACAAAAAATTTACAGAAATATTTTCTATAAAATATCAAAACCTACCTAATTTTACAAAAATAATTTCCTCTCAAAATGAGAAGAAATTACCAGAAATCTGACACATACCATATTTAATTAAAAACCTACCAAATCTTATTATTTTCTATAAGGTTATGAGCCATTTTCTTGTTTTGAACCAAACAAGCAAAGTACAAAAAACAAGAAAATTGGTACTTTTTTATTTCTTAAAACTTTTCCTATAATTTTTTTAAGAAATACAAGAAAATCATATTTTAGGTGGAAAACATTTCCTATAATTTCTAGAAATTGAACCAAAAACCCCCTAAGTACCTGAAAAAGCATGTACCAGTTCAATGCGACCCTCGGTCTCTTTACCCTTAACTCCATTGCGACAAAGGACAACGCAAATAAAATAAGCCCCAAACCATAAAACCTTGTGACTGTCATTTTGTTGCCTACAATGGTAAGGGTCATTATTTCCGATCTTTTTATGGAATAGATATATATTTGGTTACTGCATGATGTCTAATATTTTACAGGATATATCACATGGTAAATGCTCACATTTAATTCAGCAAATCAGCTGGTATCTTGACGAGTAAGTCAAAAGAAATTCTCCATTGACTAGTTCAAATTTTAATACATACATTAGGTATCACATATTTGAAGCTTGTTCCATTCGTCATAAATATTGATTCAGAATTTAATACATACATTTGAATTAATTTTAAGCAAGTCAAAGCAGAAATTAATCCATACATTTGATTGAAGTTTAAGCAAGTCAAAAGAATTTCTTACGATTAAATGTATTCTTTAAGTTAGCAAATTTTATCAAATCTTCTTTCCTCTTAAATTGTTCATTATCCCAAGAAAGGTCAAAAAAAATTATGACCTCCGCAAACAAGTTAACAAAAGATACAAGATCTTGTTGTGTCTAAATAATACAATGTTTTTCTCTCTAGGAGAAAAAAGTCTCCTTCAATTTGAAATAGGAACATAAATCAAAAATTCAGCAGAATTAAAATCTGAGAGCAGCTCTAGCCATAGCTAAGGCGCCATCATAAGTTCGATTCCCACCAATGAATCCACTCATATGTACAAAGACGCATCCAGGAATACCAGATTCTTTTGAAAGCTCTTCATCTCTCAGGCCTCTCCAAGGAAGTGGGAGAGGTCGGCGGCTCTCAAATTTGTCTGCAGATATCGCGACTGCTTGCACTCGCCAATTTTTGCTTCTATCGTCCTGTAATTATATAATCACACATTAAAAAGAAATTTTTGTTCAACAATTCTTCTTAGATAATATACATGTATGATTTTATATAATGAAGAGAACAACAATATATGCATAGAAATACAAGAAAACAGGATCAGAATGAAATTGCTAAGCTGCACGTAATTGCCCCTAATGGGTTTTGTGTTTCTTCTCTACACTTTTTAAGTGGCTGCAAAAATGGAAATAGGAAAGAAGCAGTTTACGGTTTACCTCCAGTGTCTATGATGCAAATGCACAGAAGGTGTCTCAAAGCATTCAGGTTATGAGCAATGATTTGTCATCCCCCTGCAGTGATTATGCATGACAATGACAACCTCAATAGGTCAATTATGCTAACAAGCTTCTCATACCTAATTAAATTTAGGTTGAGGCCGGGCTATGCTCAAAATGCTCAGCCAAGTATATATGGAGGTAGTGGATCCACAAGCTCGAGCAAACACGGTTAACAAGCCTTGTTAGAGCTTGGCTGGACAAAAATTCATGGAGCTGCACTTCCCGTATTTATTCATTTCGCACCAGTTGATGCGCATGAAGTTCAAGCCTATTTCATGATGGTCTGAAGTCTAAACTAGGGGGTTTTATATACATTTATTGATGTCAACCATGTCTCAATTCAGCTCAAATAGATATTTGGCCACGACCAGTACAATTCTTGTGAAAAAAAATATATTTGTTAAATGTATACTTGGGTTCGACCACTTGCTACTTTGGTTTGAACCAAAGCACGGTTGATTGCGCATTGTGTATTTCATAATTTACCTGCATTCTAACTTGTTTCGACAGGACCTATCTATTGACCAGGCTGGCCACCCAAATTTTATAAATATGAGTTTTACTCCATTAAAAAAGAAACATTTGTGAAGATTTGCTTCTAAACTCTCTTAAGCTTACTTCGCGAAATCTTTCTAGATGAACTTTTAAGCGACATTTCGAGCCAGTAATTGAGAAATCAAGAAATAGATCTATAAAAAAATTTCTTGGAAGGTTGCAACATTCAGATCAAGAGAGAAACAGATTAACAGGATCTCTTCTTTCCCTTGAAACTTCACTACTCTTGTGATTGATTATACATGGCAATCCAAGTGACAAATTATAAAATGTTCCTGAATCCCTTTCCAAGCAGAGACCATATAATCTTGCTACTGAGAGACACATGAGCCATATTGGTTTTCATCTTGTTAAGAGAACAAAATCCCCTCTTGCATTTGAGTCCAACATAAATCCGATCACTTTGGAAAGAAATGGTTTAGCGGTTGGAAATACAGTTTATTTCAAAGAAGTAGATTGGTGATTAAAAGAAACCAAATTACTTGGGGGAGAAGTAGATTGCTAGCTTTAAGATTGTTCCAGCTTTGACACAGAAGCAACCTTAAGAGGGTGAATAGAATTTAATTTAAATTCTTATTTTATATTTCTTGAACCATAGATGTAGAATGTGTGCTAGTGTGCTACTTCCGACTGTTGGTTTTGCACTCACTTGATGCATAACCAAATAAATAAATAAATAACTTTCGTAGACTAAGGAATGACATAAGTGTATATGCAACTGGAGTGGTCCACTGTTGACACTATGCATGGCTTCCTGCCTTCCCTCACTCTATCTTCTATCCATTTATGTGTACGGAAGCATCACTGCCCCATGCAGAAAAGGGTACTGCCAAAGATGTGTTAACAATAAATGCATGTAGACACCGACATACCATCCAAGGTTTAAATTTTTTATGGTCATGAAATAGAAAAATAAACTTGTGATGTGGTACTCGAATGGTGCAACATGATACTGGGTAAATGATTGTGATGACAGATTGCCAGCTAATGTTTAGTAACTGTAGGCTATGAAGCACGGACACGCATAACATGAAGCCGTGTCGTGTCCGTGTCAGACACACGTGTCGAACACACATATCCTATGTATTTTTTAGGATTTGCCTCGTGTCGGAGTGTCGTATGGCCATGTCGGATCCGTGTCCGTGCTACATAGACTGTAGGCCCTAAATAGCAAATCACATTGAACTACTTTCTGCAACCAAGCCTGGCATAGTTGTAAGAGGTAAGATGTGAGAAGTCCCAGATGCAAGATTCCGTCTTGCATCTACCAAAAAAGAAAATGCTGACTATTTTTCTACAGGAACTTAGTCAATGGATATAAATAAAATAAGATATTCAGTCCATACTTTGACAACTAAACACAGACTCAGTTCTGATATTACGATCTGCCTCTAAACATTTCCATGTTACAAGAATGAAAGGTAGCACATGGGAAAAAGATAAACCCACCTGATAGAGAGCGTACTTGATGGAAGGATCAATCTTCAACTCCTCTTCAAGCTCAAATATATGAAGCTTCCACTGTAAAAATATAATCAATTGAATTAGATTTCATCACATTTTAACTTCATAGAATATAGAAACTTATGGTTCATGAGTCATAAATTGCTCACTTTACATCAAAATTAAATCTTGAGCTCCACGAAACACTCTTTATTCAATATATTATGAGTAACTTTTCATTATAGAAATCAATCTGCAGGTGCTCAGTTTAAAAAATCTTTCCTTATGTAGTACATGCAAATGTTATCCTGAGGGGGAGGAAAGGCAATCCAACTTCACAAGTGCAATGTGACTACTGTAGCTAATATGCTATACAAATTATATCAATTCGGAAGAAGAAAGACTTGACTATAATGCTTTTCACATGGAAAAGCACTAAATCTAGGTCGACTAATATGGTGATCCTAAAGAAAATATTACTAAAAAAAAGACTAGTTCTGGGAAAATAACACATCTTTCTTCAAGATTGTGCATCCAAGATTCCAAATACTCTGAGATTTCCACAAGCGACGTACAGAGACTATCTTTCTTTGCTCCAAATCTAGGACGTATTCCCACCAAAACCTTCAACTCTGGCCACAAAAATGCCAACAATAGAAGCAACTCGCTGGATTTTCGACAAAAATGCCAGCAAGAAGCAACTCGCTAGATTTTTGGAATAATTTGACTAACTCTTTAAACCCGAGCTCCTCTAAAGACTTTCAAGGACCTCCTTAGGATTACAATGTCTAGTGTGGCACCATATCTCATCACATTTCCTACCACCAGTTTGACACGCAGGTGGGACTTGAGGATAGCAGTAAAGGTTGGTGGCGATTTTTTTGTTTTACCCGGAACTTTGTGCAGGTCCCCGAACAGACCTGTAAATTTTATTGTGAAGGTGGCATAAATCGCCATTAAAAGATTCACAAAATAGGTATCATAGAATTATTCTTTGGAAGCATGAGAAAACTGGATATTATAGAACTATCTTGAGATAACACAACATACCAACGAAGATCCCGATAACCCTAAATAAAGCAAAATACACAAACTGACCCTAACAAAGAAGCTCACCCATGCCTAAAATTATAGAAACCTCTTTTATCCTCCCTAATGATCTGCATAATGTGGGGAGCGAAATGGTCTGATAGCAAAAGTAATCAAAAGGATTGATTTCCTTCTAAGGCATGAGAAAATTGCTCCACGTGAAGATAAGCTTGACAAGCCCTCCGGGTATACGCTAAATGCCAAGGTGTCGTGACAAGACCTTACCAGGTAAATAACTTGCACACACCTTGAGGCCTGTTCTAAGTGCAGGAGCTTCTACAAACATATTAGTACCTTCTTCATAGAAATAAGAAAAAGAAAGGACATCTCCAGATGAGTTTCTTAGAATGCCTCCACCAGCGCATAAACCATTCTGACAAAAACCATCAATGTTTAACTTAATCTCTATGTCCAGAGGGATCCAACGTACCTTCCATCCTAACCTCAGTCTTGGAGCTTTAGGAGCGACTTGCAACACAAAGAGGATGGTTAAATTTAGAAAAGATTAGTGAATGAAGACTTTGGAGAAAAATTAGAACTAAGCTCATGAATCCAACATATTATTAGCTCATGATTCACTTGGTGGTGAATCATAGGTCTGCTCCTACCCATTTTCACATATCCAGCAAAGGAAATTTTCATAGTTCCACCTACCATAATATTTTATTATACGTTATAAACTTTACAGGACATCTTTAGAAATGATCATCAAGGTCTTCTCTTTCGACTTTGTTATGACTCCATAGCTTATGATACTATTAACTTTCATGATACTTGATCATTATGATTTTCATGTCTAGTCTCATCCAAGGACAATCATGTGTTGAAAAATCTATTATTGGTTAAGGAAAAAAACTAAAGAACAATCAACAAAATAAAAGGAAGAAGCTCCACCAGTCAAGCATTTATTATTGAACATTGACCAAGGAAGAAGGTGCACACAAGCCAAATCACGAGGCCCAAAAGTTGCTACGAGGTAGCTGCACTTAGCTTTCATGCATCTCCAATATAGGCTTATTGATGCAAGACGATCGTGGACCATCAATCTAATGTGATTAGGATTTATTAGGATCTCCCAAATCTAGGCTTTTGAGTTTGTAGCTAGTCCTCTCTAGCTACCAGCTATTCTTCCTTCTCTTATGGGACTTGAAGCCAAGTAAAGGCAGATTGTTGTTGAGTTATAGCTTTATTGATAGTATTTGATGTTATTTTACATTATCTTCTATTTTCTGTTAGGATTTCCTTAGGATTTAATTTTGATAATTTCTTATAGTCTAGTTAAGATTTTATTTGATAGCATCTTTTAGTTTTGTTATCTTTTGATTAGATTAGATTTGATTTACTTCTTTTATGTGATTAGATGTGTTCTTCTATAAATAAGATCTGTGATCCTTCATGAGGAATAGATATTGATTAATAAAATTTGAGTTTGATAAATCTTTCTAAGCATATGAATTACTCGTGTTTTGACATGTGAAGTGTCATGGGTGTGAAGCCCTTAAGTGGGACGCATATTCTTTAGGTGTGAAGCCATTCTTTTATCCTAGCTCTTCTCTTTTTATCCAAACCTCTTAGTCAATCCCAACTTTCAATCCTAGCCCTTTATCCAAGCATTCATCCAAAATACTTTAATAATTAATTAATTAAATAAATAAAACAGAAAACTCCAAAGTCAACGCTACTACTCACAAATGAGTAGTATCAAGAAATTGTTCAAAGATGAAAACTAAATCAATTTATTGCTTACGCTTGAACAGTGACAATATGGCGGTTTATGCGCTCTTTTCCACCTTTGTTTCTGACGATGCCAATGTCCGAACAACGATGAACCTCCAACGAACCTTTTACCGTGCGTCCGCTCACTTGCTTTCTCTAATGAGTTCCGATCTCAGTCCATCAGTCATCGAACATATCTGAATAGTTATTGGAGACCTCATGTTTGAGATTCATCATAATTTGGATCGGAGCCCTCTACCCATACTCCATCATTTACCTCTATCTTTTGTGATGAACACAGCCTATAACTAGTATGGTCATGTCAAACGCATTACCATGCCGAGGGCTATAGAATAACCATGTCGAATTAACAAGGATGGTGTTATTTCTCTTGTAGCAACACAACTCTTAACATTCTCTGATACAAATACACACTCTATAATACTAAGTACTATAATAAAACGATACTCTTTCTCATTCACACACCACTCTCTTTCCTCTCTCTATATCTTTTTCTCTTTACTTCTTCCCCGAGATGCCTCACAAAATGAACTTAAGGGGGTATATATATAGGCATTGTTCGTTTATTGTGCGAGGTTGGTATACACAATTAGTGGTTGGTAGCAACTATTTTGGTTGGTCACTCTACCAACAATTGGTAGGTAGGGAATTTTGGTAGGTGGGGGGCATGTTGCTGATCATTTCAGTACTCCCACTCAATAGCGAACTCTCTATTCACAAGTCCAATTAGACTTCTAAATTATATAAACTTTAAGGAAACTTAACTCCTTTAATGAATATATCAGCTACTTGCTTGTTCATCTTAATCAACTTTATGATAATCTCCTCTTGAAAAACCTTCTCTCGTAAAACATGATAATGTGCATCGATATGCTTCATCCTTGTATAAAACTTAGATTCTCTGCCAATCAACTGCAGACTAATTATTGCAATCTAAAGCTACTGAGTAGTTGGATCCTCAATCAACTAAAAAAGTCAGTTTATAGTGGTCCGGTTGACTATAATTTGCTGCATTAAGATAAGAAACTTAAAAACGTATGTGTCAAGAAAAGGAATAAACCGACAATGATATTCCATGAGATGTCTATTACAGCTCATAACCAGCAGTGAATCACCCCTTTCAGCTAAAGATCAGATGGTATAAATGACTAACATCTGCTATAAATAGCTAAAATATTATTGTAATTAGCTATTGTAAATAGTTGAATATCAAGATGGTTAACGCTCGTAAACAAGTATAAACTCTTTCCTTCTTTACTAATTTTGTAATCTACATATAGAAGTCTTCGCCCTGTAGGAAATATATAGAAAATGAGCAGCTCCAATGTTGCCTTCTTCCTTCTCTCCATCATTACATGGTATCAGAATGGAACAAGTGAGGTTGTTTTCATTTATTGTCATCCAGTAAGCGTCATCGATTACCTGCCTCTAGGTTTATTCAAGTCATCGTCATTTGTCCTTCTGATTTCGCTTGGCTATCTTCATCAAGTTGTCACTGATTTCATTTAGGACATCTCCGTTCAGCTATTCTCAGCTATATTTGGGTTACTAAGTTTAATGTTAAATATTTTTTTGTGACTTTGCTATCTGTCTTATTATTTAAAAATGGATTCTCACCATGGACTAACAGTGAAATTAGATGGCAATTTTTGTGGGCATCTTACATTAGGAATTTCTTGGAAGGACATGATCTTTGGGCTATATTGAGGGAACTGTCAAAAAAACTATAGAACGTTCTACTTTGAAATGAGTGATCAACAATGCAAAGATAAAGATATAGATTATGGAATCAATTGAGAATTCCATCACTGTGATCTTGAGTCTTTTTAGATGGCGAAACAGATGTAGGACTACTTGGAGTGTATCTACAAGCAAGGCAACGCACCACGGTTATATCAACTCAAGCAAGAGATAAGTTCTCTATCTCAAGAACCTCATACCATTTAATAATTTTATTCTGCTATGATGATATGGAATGAGATGGATAGGATAGAGTCTGATGTTCCTAAAGAAGCACTTGAAATTGTTATAAAATTGGGACAACAATCAGGCTCAAGACAATTCTTGATAAAATTACAACCCCAGCTTGGACATGTCTACGCTACAATTACAAATCCTTCAAGTACTCACAATATTAATAACATCTTAGCAAAACTTGTTGCAAAGAGGCCTCCTATGGAGTCTCTTTCATTAGTTCCGGTTATGACTTTCCTTGTTAGTACACAAAAAGAAAAATTCCTCAATTTCAACGA